AAAGCGGAGCTGGGAGACCCTGCACTCATTATTTAGCCATCATGTCTTTTGTGTGGAGAATTATCTATTGGATTATGTAAAAAGACAATATGTTATCACTGCAATGAGAAGACGAAAGAGATACATAAATACGTCGGCTAAACTCGGGAGAAGTTGTTGCTTGGTACTGGGGATGTAGAAAATGTGAGACCTATGCCACACTGGATTGTAGAAGACCCCCCTTCCATGGAGACTTGGGTTGTAGCTGGTGCCTGAAATTTTCATCTGGAAGAAAGGAATTGAGAACATACCCCCTCCCCGATGGATGAAAATGACCAGGAACAGACCTTTGAAAGAATGTATGATGTGCTACCAGGAAAAGACTCGAGGAAAATGGAAATGCGGACAATGCCGGCAATATCCGTGTTGTGAAAAGTGTGTGAAGAAACTCTTTGAGACTTCCTACAAGAAATGCCCCTTATGCCGATATGAAGGACAATAAAATCATTTTTTTTTTTGTATTTTTTGACTTGAATAAATATTTGTGTTTACAAATTCTTTGTTGTTTTGTTGTTTGTTTTAAAAATAAAAAATAATTAAAAAAATAAAAATTTAAAAAATAAAGGAAAGGTTTTATCAAGAGGTATATAACAAACCCTCTCTCATTCTGAAAAAGGACACTGAACAAGTCAGACGTGTTTTTTTGTTTTTCCCCAAAGATGCAGTATCGTTGGTATTGTGAGAGTCCCATTAGTCAGTGTCAGGGATGGGGTAATTGAATAAAGTAATTGTAATTGAGCGTAATTAATTACATTTTTCAAAGTAATTGGAAGTATTTTGTATTTGAACCAGAATTCAATTACAAGTAATTGAATGTATTTAAATACATTTCAAAAAAAAGTCATGTATTTTCAATTACTTTTCAATTACATTTCAATTACTTTTTTTTTTCAGAATGAAAGTTTATAAAAAGTTGTCTTATACTGACACACAGTTTGTATACTGGTGTAACATGGGCTTGTGTTTGTACAATAATTAATTAAATGTCTCTGAATGTTTAATTTGTTTATACAGTGTGTCACATTGCCCAGAGCAATAGGTAAAGGTCTAATTTTGACCAGGTGTGAACCCCTCTCATACCTAACAACAAAACACTGAATAAAAGTTCACTATAGAAAAAAAATCTTATTCAGATCCAAGCATGAATTCGAGAGTATTGGATGAATTTAATGTCCCAGACAATGTTTCTGGGAATTTTAAGGCTAAGTGTAAACATTGCGAATCGTACATTTCTGGCAGTACCAAGGCTACTTCTAACTTTCTTACACATGTAAAGGTAAGTTTTTCAAATTATCTTATATTTTCTTTTTATATTTTTTTATGTGTATGAATATCACTAATACATGTAAATTCACATCTATAATTAAATGTAGATGTTTTTTCTGTTTCTCAATGAAAAGCTGAATGCAATGACTTAAATATTATCTTTTATTGCATGTCTATTATATACTCTTACTCAAACAGAATTAAAAAAAAACTATTAATCCCTTCCATTATTTCTTTGACCAAATTTAGAGCAATAATTTTTGCTAATTTTGTAGAGGAAACACAGAGATGCATACCTCCGTGTTATTGAAGTTAAGAAGGAAGACCAAGGGCAGTCAAAGATAATTACATTTACCAGAGGGACTTCAAAGTATTCATCAAATGATCCAAATCAACAACAAATTACAGATGCCCTTCTGCATTTCATTGCTGGTGATTTACTACCCCTTTCGATTGTTGACAGCAAATATTTTCAAAATTTAATGGAAAAAGTTAACCCGAAATACCAGCTCCCTAGTAGAAAGCATTTATCAACAACACTTATTCAGGAGAAGTCAACCGAAATCAGAAATGAACTGAAAGAGAATATGGCAAGGGCTGTCTCATTGTGTTTAACAGTTGACATCTGGTCAAACCGTCAAATGCGTGGATTTCTTGGAATCACTGGTCATTATATACATGAATGGCAGATGAAATCAGTCATGATTTGTTGTAAGCGTTTTAAAGGTAAACACAGTGCAGAGAACATCCGACATGAATATGAAGAAACTGTTTCATCATATGATATTTATGACAAAATTAATAATATAATCAGTGATAATGCTGCAAATATGGTGAAGGCCTTTGATTTTGCATTACCTGGTTTCCAAGAAGAGCACAAAAGCATTACTGAAGAAGAGAGTGAAAGTGATGATGAGGATAACTGTGATGTTGATAATGACATGTCTGAGTTATGTGAAGAAATTTTCCCAAAGCACTCTCGTTGTTATGCACACACTCTCCAACTAGTTGTAAAAGATGGACTTGGTGATTGTTCCCCAAGTCTCAAGAGCATAATTGCTAAGGCTTCCAACATTGTGTCTTTCGTGCGAAAATCTGTAGTAGCTAGTGAAATGTTGGAAGATGAACAACGTTTACAGGCAGCAAATATAACCAGTTGGAATTCCCAACTTCACATGCTTAGGTCCATTTTAAAAGTTCCAGAGAGCAAATTGAACAGCCTTGACACAAAATACAAGCTCTCAACCTATGAGAGAAAACTACTGCAAGAGCTCTGCCAGATCTTAGACCCATTTGAGCATGCCACTCTGCTTGTTCAACAGGAGATAAATGTAAGTGCAAGCTTGACCATCCCAATTACACTTGGTATAAAGCATCAACTACGCCAAATCTCTGCTATACATAGCAATAAAATGATTCAAACTCTTGTCCACTCTGTGGAATCCAGGCTCTCTCCCTTTGAGGAAAATGAAACTTTCATTCTCGCAGCTGTTCTAGATCCCAGATTTAAAATAAGGTGGTGTAAATCGGGGAAGGTAGAAGAAATTGTAGCCCTTTTAAAAGAGAGAACAAACAATGTGCAAACTCAAGACATTGATGATTTAACATCCCCTGAAAGTCCTCCTACAAAAAAGGGGAAAACTGATTTTTTCAGTTTTTTACCCCCCTCAACACCAAAGAGGAAAAGACATGTATCTGGGCCAACAACTGAGATGGATATCTACCTAGGGGAAGACTGCACAGAGATGTCTGAAAGTCCACTGACTTACTGGTCTCAAAATCATTCAAGGTTTCCTTGTCTATCTAAACTAGCCCAGCGGTATTTAGCTGTTCCAGCGACTTCAGCGCCTGTAGAAAGACTTTTCAGTGTGGCTGGCAAAATTTTCAGACCAGAACGATGTCGTCTTAGTGACTCAGTTTTCGAAAATTTGATGATGATAAAAATGAATTCAAAACTGTAAAGCACCTAAGTTCCTCCATGCCTTGTAAAATATCAGTGCTGTTTATACATGCATGTATATGTTCTCAAGATTTTTTTTCTAAAAAATAAAATTCAAGTAATTGAAATGTATTTAATTACATTTGTCAAAGTAATTGAAAGTAATTAATTACATTTGAAAAAATCAATGTAATTGTAATTGCAAGTAATTGACAAAATTATCAATGTATTTGAAAGTAATTAATTACATTTCAAAGTAATTGACCCCAACCCTGGTCAGTGTATGTACATGCAAGGAGGGTGGATGAAAACTAAAATAGGAGCCATCATGGATTTCTTTGAAAATCATCCAGGAGGAAAAAAAAAAAAATAAATATCACAAAATAAAATATCTGCATCCTCTCAACAGGATCTAGAGTGAGGGTGAAAATCAACCAACATTATCAGCAATTCAAATCGGTTACTCTGGGTCCCAGTGTACCACTTGACACCCATCAACACCATTTAGATGGTTCACTGGCAACTACATTGGAGATTGTCTGAAATATTATTTCAAGTATGGAGAAAGAAGGACTCATGTTTCCACCTCATTATTGTCGCTACAATAGCATCTGTATTGTTGACATTTCCTTTTCCCAGATTAAGACTGGTGGAAAAGAAAGGACATTTGTTGACTCAGTGATTGAGGACCATATCATCATCAGAGAGAAGAAGAAATAGATGTTAATTTTTTGAATAAATGTTTTGAATTTTTTTTCAAAAAAAAGTGTTGTTATAAATACAAAGGTCTTAAGGTCTAGGATTTCAGTCTTAGATTGAACATGGCAGAGAGCAGTGGGTTTTACATGACTTTACCCAGTGATCGGTCTGATGGCCTCTTTTTCTAGCAATACGACCGCTCAATTTAAAACCTTATTACCACAATCAGTGGATTTAACCGACGGAGAATGGGAAGTGGCTTTAACAGAAATGATGTATCCCAATTCATTGAAAAACATTACAGAAGAGGAGGCTTATTTTGACATCCTGGTTCCTCAGGCTTTTGCTCGCTATATCAAAAACCCCAATGTTTATGGCAGATTTAAAATGAAAACCTTAGACCCAATGCCTTTACGTCAATGTCCTGTAATGCTCGATTGGGCCCATACTAAACCGCCTCAACTCATTGAACTAGATAGCAAGATGGAAATTAGAAAAATTCACTTCAGATCCGGGCCTTACGTTCACCCCAAGGCCTTAACAGAGGAAATAAGTCTAGGACTACAGAGATCATTGAAAAAAATATGGAAAACCCTTAGTGAGGGAAATGAAGAAAAATCTATGAAATTAGTATATTACGAGACCTATGATCGAGTGATGTATGAAATCAATGAAAAAATGCTTAGTCCCTTATGCATTCGTTTCCCCACATCCTTAGCTTATAAGCTAGGCATGGACGGTCAGAAAGTCATTCTTCAGAACGATACTGAAAACATGACCAAATGGATCAACATTAGTTACTTGGGAAACAGTACTGTGGATTTATATGAAAATCTGAAATCCATGTATGTCTATTGTGACTTGATTCAACCCCAGACCGTAGGCTCCAATGCCTTGAAATTATTAAGAGTGGTGCCTTGTACATTTCATTTGGAGGATTCAAAACAAGCCAAATGGGAACCCATTCGAGCGGAATATTTGAAAATGGAAGCAAAACATTTCTTCGATACCATTGAGATTCACATGATGACTCCTTTAGGGACTCCCATGCCCTTTGTAAGTGGTAAATCAGTGGTGAAACTTCATTTCAGAAAAGTATACTGAGATGAATGTACCGTTATTGTGTTCCATCTTATTGGGCGTGGTGGCTTGCCTGGTCTGCTGTCTGTATTGTATTCAGCCGTAAAGGGTATAAAAGGAAGTCCCCAGAGGATATAAAGGTCAGTTGAACAAGCGACATGAACCATGCAGTATCATCCACACATTACTGAGACAAAGAGGACACAGTTGGACTTATCATAAAGGTTTATTACGTCAAAAAGGCGGAGCAGTAGGTTCTATCATCTCTGGATTGGCGAAGTGGTCCTTTGATAATCTATCGGGGACTCCTCTTACAGGATTACTCAAATTGGGTAGGATTTTAACTCACATGAAACCTCAAAAAGGAGGAAATTTTTTAAACTTCCTCTCGGCAGCAGTCCCTAACATACCCCTACCGGGCATAGGCTTAGGTTTGACTCTCAAAGTAGCTACTAAGTTAGCCATGGGGCCACAAAAAGGTCGAGGATTTGTCAAAGAATTACTCCAACATGGGAAAAAACAAGCCATCATGAAAGGAGTGAAAAGATAGGCAGAGATGTAGTGGCAAAAAGAAAAAAAACATCCGAGGATGCTCTTTTAACCCACGGACTCAATGCGGCCAAAAATACAGGTCTATTTGCTTTCAATCGAGGAGTCTCTTTACCCTTTAGAAAGAAGAAGAAGAAAAAAGGACAAACAGGTCAAGGAAGAAGAAGAAAAAAAAGAAGAAAGCAGACAGGGAAAGGAAGAGTCCTGTTAGCCCGAGGGGGTCCTAAGAGAAAAAGGAAAAAAACAAGGAGGAATTCCTAAAAGAAAACGTCATTAAGATGTGTTTGACTGAGAGAGAGAGAGAGAGAGAGAGAGAGAGAGAGAGAGAAGGAGGACAGTCCAGGGAACAGAAGGTTCATTTGTGAAAACTGAATCCTAGTAGACACATCATGTTACAGCCCGATTCCTGTGGGTGTGGGATGAACAATTTACAATTGTTTCAAGTCCCTCCGACTAATATTGCTTTAGAAGACTCGAAATGGGAAGAATATTACCCCATTTCCAGTACTTTAGATTCCCACACCGCTCCCATCGAATTTGAAATCAAAGGACAAGGAGATCATTATCTGGATTTATCTCAAACTTATGTTCAAATGGTATGTAAATTTACCAAAGACAGAAGAATT